AGTGACCGTGCGCCGGAATTTAAAAATCTCTGTAAAACCCGAACGCGATTTTGGGGGTGCAGTCGACCGTTCATCGTTCACAGATCCGATCAAAAGAGGTCGAGCGCGACGAGGGTTTCGTGGTCAATTGTGTCACCTTCTCTCTGAAACAACCGGACCAGAATCTCTCGCATTAAATGTTTCTCTTTCCATGAAAAAGTCAGCTAGCTCGGTGACGAGAAAAAAAAAAAAAAATTGTTTCACGCTCTTGTGCATCGACCCTCTCCGCCCGAGTCGGAAAGTCAAAACCCGTGGAAGGGTGGTTTTTTCGAAGCCGATTCGAGGAGCACAGGTGGGCTTTAAATACGACCGCGTCGTAGGAGAGCACGAAATATATACACGGGGGGGGGGAGGGGGGTGCGAGAGCAGGGACGTGCGTACGTGTGTGCGGGCCGAAGGGTAGCTGCGCGGCGCGATGGTGTGAGACGGTGGAGGATACTGGACCGGAGAAAAAGGAAGAGATGCGCTTCGAGGAGAAGGGCGAGAAGCGGGGGCGGTGATGCGCGTCGGTAAGGGAAACAAGAAAAAGAGGCCGCGAACGAGTATGTGCGAGAGAACGTACGCGTGCACACGTATGAGAACCCGAAGAGAGGGACGGAGTGGAATAGCGGAAGAATGGAGGATACGAGAAAAGGAGACAGAGCATAAAAGAAGGAGCCGGAGAAGGAAGGACGTAAAACAAAGTAACGACGAAATGCACTTCCCCCTTTACGTCGTCCCTGGCGCTCGCCCGGAGGGAAACGTCGAACGAAACGTTAAAAACTGGGAAGAGGAATGAGAGCGCGGGGGTGTTAGGTGGTGGCTCGTCGGTCGGGAGGGTTGGTGGGCCCCGTTGGAGGCGCTAGGCTAGGGAGCGAGAGGGTGGGTTTGCTGTGGCAGCCGGGCCACCCTGGAAGGGTGCCGGGAGGTTATGACAGCCGAGGTATTGAGCGGATCCTTCGTTAAAAAAACGAGAAGCACCGTGCTGAGGTGCGTGGAACAGAGAGACCGAGACCGGGAAAGGAGAAAGCGAGAAAAGGCGAGAGGGAGAGAAAACGAAAGCGAGCGAGCGCGCTCGCGACCGACCGACCGGCGCGCCGGAGCGAGTGGGATACGAAGACACGGGAAAGGAGCAAGGGAAAAAGAGAGTCGAACGAGAGGGAGCGAGATATCGCGAGTCGAGAGACGAGGAGAGAAGAAGAAGTACGCGACTGCCGCCGCCGCCACCGTCACCGCTCTGTTGCTGCTAGGAACCCGGTGGAGGTGGTCCAAGGGGTGAGACCAAGTAACCGAATCCAACGCACCCTTGCCTCGCGCCCATCGCCCTCCCCCCTTTAACCGGGGAAAAAACCGAGTGCACCATCTCCCCCACTTCTCCATCTCCAGCTTCTCCTCCTGCACCTCGTCCTCATCCTCGTTCTCATCCTCCTTCACGACCACCCCTGACTGCTCTTCCCGAACCAGTCCTACCTGCCCTCTCGGGTGACGAGCGGAGGCGAGTTCTCTCTTGCTTCATCTTCTTCTTCTTCTTCTTCTTCTTCTTCTTCCCTCTGTACCTCGTCATCAAGTTTCTTCCGCCGTCAGAAAAAATACCAACCCAACTTCGAAATGACGTTCCGCGATTCAGATCGAACGCGACGAATCTTCTCCTTCCGCTTTGACGAAACGTCGCACCGGACGAACAACGACTTCTGCGATCGCTTTATCAACTTGTACGATTCGCGGCAAGGGTGCTCGGCCACTTTCACCGACGAGCAATTTACAATAATTGCCAACTATAATTGTTTCGCGAGGGTGGGTGCGGGGTTTCATTTTTCGGGTATCCCTTCAGCTTTGTAACTTTCTAACTCAATAATTAACTGTCAGCGATAAACTTCTGTTGATCGAACTCGTTGCATCGAGCGATCTACCGATCCGCGGAACGGCCAGACGGTTATCAGAAACCGCGATTACGTCGGTTTAAAATCGACAACGCGGTCTGCCACGGTACAAAGAACATCGTCGAGAAGTAGAAAGGAAAACACGGGTGGAAACGGTCGGCCAGATGTACTCGAGGAAGATAAAAAAGAGAAAGAGAGAGAGAGAGATTGAGGAACGGGGAGAGGGACGGGGAGAGGGATGACATGGCAGGGGGTGGCACGGTGGAAGGGGCTGGAATCGAGACCGTTTGTTCGTCGACGGAAATGCAGGCTGGACACGGAACGACGGAAAACGAAGCGAGTGTGTGCGAAGCACTCCCCGGATTCGCGTAATGGGAAAATCGATTAGGAACCGAGGCGGGTAAGGTGACCGTCCAAGATGCACGGACACACCGCCCGAGAGTTATTAGCTCCTCTACATCCGGGGAATTAAACGAGTCGCGAAAAAGAGAATCGTTGAAATCGAATCCGCGCAGCCACCGAGACTCGTCCTCGCAAACTTCGCTCCTTGATTCAAATTTTTACTACCAACGTGTCTTTTAACCAGCCAGATTTCTAATTACTGTCAGTAGACGTAATAGGAAAATATATCGTCTGCAATCGAAACAGATTTAATCGATACGTACGACGTGCGGAAAAAAAAAATACTGCGCTAGTGCTTTGTTCCTTAAACTGTCACGATTACAAAAATTCGAGAGGGAAAAGTTGAACAATGAAATACTTAATGCGCTAAAAACTCGAGCATCTTAGAACTCCGACCACTTCAAGGTACTCGGAGAGTCTAGTCACTTTTCCCTCGCCCAGCGTGGCTGCGAAGGTTCAATGACATCGGTAGAAGCTCCCGTAGTACACGTACTTATACACAGACGACGCGCCCGCGCCACCGAGCCGAAAATGGAACGCGTAGCAAAAGCGCACGCATTTTCTTTTTCTTCGCAATTTATGAGAGAAAATTCTTTTAACGATGAGCGAATTTAAATACCGATCGAATTTGCTCATTTCATTTAGACTGCTAACGCAATCGACCGTATTATTGAATTATTGAAAAATTGTTTCGAACGCCCTAGAAAAACACTTCGGGTAAATATTTAATTTCCACAACGAATCATACGGTTCACGTATGAATTAAATGACGTGTAGTAAATTTCATTACAGATGTCAATCCAGAACCATTTTAAACGTTGAATAGTCAGATTTTAAAGCGATCGTCGAAAAAGGAAACTTTACATGGTCGAACGAACGTTGTTATTAAATTCATCGAGTTTTTCACGATGCTTCGTAGCCGAGACGCGAAAGTTTCGACCCACGGCGAGATCTCGGACGCGTTCGCACGCGACGCCCGGTACGGGAAAATGTGGAACACGCGTGGAACCGCATAACCGAAAGGCTGGCAGCGCGTTTCATCGATGTTGTTCGCTAGGTAGGCTTACAGTAGGCCGAGTATCCCAATCGATCTTTCAGCGTCAGCGGTAGAGGTATCGCGTCGTCGGCGTCGTCGTGCTAGCCCACGGCTAGCCTCTATTCACGACGTCCGTGCGCGAGCAGAATATCAACACCGGGAATCAAACGCTTTTAACGAACGCCACCGCTACGATTTTGATCATCTACACGGTGTACACGTCGCGTATCAACGAAATACTATCGATCTTCCTGCGAGTGACGAGTAGATGAAGATCGATCCCGTCGTCCTCCGCGCTACCTACCTACCTACCTACCTACCTACCAACCTACCTACCTACCTAGCTACCTACCTACCCCAAGCCGTTCCGTGTTTACCGTTGAATTATCAACCAGCGTATTACTACGGGGTGAATCCCTTTCGACGGCGTTACAAAACTTTGTCTACCTTAACACGTTAAACGGTAACAGTAACGAAGGAGTTAATACTCGTACTTGGGCAACTCGAGATCGATTTTTGACGATGCGTACCGTACAGGACCTTCGGTGTTTATTCCAGTTGGACCGTACAGTTAGCACGTGGATAGCGAGAATTAAGCGGTGGAAAGTTTGTCGGTGGAGAAGCGAAGAACGAAAGGAAGGACAAAAGCTCGAAAGGCGAGGTGGAATAGAAAGGGGCAATTAGAAGATGTTTGATTTTCGGCGACAAAGGGGTGGTTAGGGCGCATCGGTAGGGCGGGTATCCCGACGACAAAGGCGACGGAGCGAAGGAGTCTCGCGATGAACGCAAGAGAATCAAGGGGCTGGCAAGGTAGGACACGGTCGGAAGGGGATCGCGGGTGGTGTTCGGGAGGGTGCAAGGATAGAGAAGGAAGGAGGCGAACGACGACGGACGCGAGACGAGGATAGGGCAAGTAGAAAGGACGAGGGTGTCCGCGGGGGCGGATGAAAGGACGCTTACCAGCTACTACCTATTGATCGCCAATTCTTTTTCTCTTGTTGCATATTAGGCGCACTCTGGCCTCCTCTCTCTTTCTCTCGACGGCGGCAGTGCGCTCTCCCACCCCCTTCGCCGGCGTGGAGCGCGCGAATCCGCCCCTATAGCTACCCTTCGGTCACCCTCCGCTCTTCCTCTTCGTTCTACCTCCCTGCACCTCATCCCCCTACCCTCTGCCCATATCGCGTCACCGCGCGAGAGTGCGAGCCTCCCCTACCTTCCTACCTACCTACCTACCTACCTACCTACCAACCTACCTACCTACCCCATCGGCTCTGACGTTCTTCTTACTGGCAATGTTTCATTTCGAGTAGCGGCACCCTTTCTCTTTCGGGGTGGGGCCAGGTCCCTCCAACTCTTACGCACAGGTGTCGCACCTGTATTCCGCGTGCATTCTACACTCGGAACTGCTCACCCTCACCTTCCAATGACGGATCCATGATCCATAATCGATCGATCAAGGATAATTCCAAATTCGAATAACGTTGATCCGAGAAAAATGAAACGCTCGTTTAATTGAACGTTCGATAGATGGATTTAAATGCACGTGTTTCTTTTTTAAGAATCGGTCCGGATTTTAAGAACTCGTTCAAATTCGACGCGCTAGTAGACGTAAGCGTGAATGACCACAGGGCAATGATTAATGTGAGCCTCGATTTCTGTTCCAGGTGACGTTCGATCGAACGGTTTCTCGGGGCAGATCGAAACCGAGATCGAAGGGGTGGAATCAAAGGAAGAAGAAAGGAAGTAATAGAGGCAGAACTCGGTGACGATAGAGTGCACTCTCGGTGTATTCAGGGCGCAAGCGTGCACGTGTGTCACGCGTCCCCGTGCCCTAACCGTGTCCGAACACGAGGGGGTAGCCGTCGTTCCTCGGCTTTCCCATCCCTACTCCGTCGGCATCGCCGCCGTTGCCGCCACCGTTATCGCCACTGCGACCGCCACCGTCACCGTTGCTGCCGTCGGCTCGCCGTCCCTTCGACCGAGCAACAAGAAGAAGAAGAAGAAGAAGAAGAAGAGGAAGAGAAAGAGGAACCGAACGAGCGCCGCCGCAGCCGACGTAACGACGCCGGCGACGACGACGACCACCAAGACGACGAGGACGACAACGACGACGACGACGACGACGAAGAGGCGGGGAAGGACGTGGACGCGAACGGGGATCGAGTCAACGACGTACGCGCCGGCGACGATCAGGCTGGCATCCTCTGCCCGTTGTTTCTGGATCGCGTTACCGCGTCACGCGTGACGTTGTAACCGGTGCGCGCTTTAAGAGAGCCGGCACGCACGCCTTTTCCGCCTCGAATCCTCCTCACGCGTGTCTCGCGCGTTCCACGTACAGAAAGAGAAACAGCGGAGAGAGGAACGGAGAGGAGGAACGTACGACGAAGAGGGGGAGGATCGAGAAAGCCGGTCAACCAGGGGCGGAAAGGGAGAGACGAGCGAGGGAACAGGGGGAGGCCGAGGACGAGAACGACAACGGCGACGACGACGACGACAACGAGGACGGAGGACGGCTGGAGGCGGACGGGGTGGACGTCCACGCGGGAACTCGAGGCAGGCGCACCCGGCCGGCACGCACACACATTCATTCTAAGATGTGATTTCAAAAATGGCGGATTGCCCCTATGCCCGCTGCATACAGGAACGCAGACATATCCGACGGGAGCTGCTGCGATGGACAAAGAATATGGTCTTCGTAGTCGGTGAGTTACGATCGCAAACGATCGACGTTATACCTTCCTGGCCAGGTGTATCTCGGAACCCTTACTACCAACTTCTGAGATACCCTCCTGTGTAGTTGATTTCTTAGCAACTTTTATCAATCGCTGTTCGATCGCCGAAGCAAATACGGCTGGTCGCCAATATGTTTTATCTTACCAGAAAAATGAGTTACGCCCTGTACTCTGTACGATCGCCTCTATGGCTCGCGATCGTTCTCTTCTTCAGCGCGAACTTTTTGTCTAACTATTACGCGATCGTCGGAACGTCGCGTCGACGCGACCACGTTGGCTCGCGTTCCACATGGCGAATCTTCGAATGTATGTCGGGGATACATAGGTACAGCGGTTAGAGTCGCGTCGCTCCGTGTGCCGATGTGTAAAGCGTGGAAAGGAGAGAGAAAGATGTACGGGGTCGTGCGGGCGGGAGTGGGAACGGGAGGATGGGGCGGGGAGAAAGATAGGGGTCAAAAGAGGGGTAGAGGGAGAGATAGAAAGAGAGAGAGAGAAAGAAACGACGCCGGTGGTGAGACCTGTTGCGAACCGAAACGCCGAATCCTGGTTGACTGTGAGCCAGGCGTGACTCCTACTCGTGTCCGTACGTTCAACAGGGTGGTAGCACGTTGTCGGAAAACACAGCGATATTCCGCGCGTGTAGCTACATCTTCCTGCGCGTTGGCAAATTTTACGATATTCCACCTCTCTCCACGTCCGTGTACGTATGTGCGTGTGATTTTCGTGAAATCTCACCGCTCGTCGACAAAAACCGGGACCGAACCGTTGGCTCGTGAATTTCAGTTCCCGTTTTCGCTTTCGCTTTAACTCTTGCCAATTACTCACTATTGTACGTCCTACACACCTTTTAACTTTTAACTTTTTAAGTAGCACCGTTAAAGCGCAGTCTGTTTTCTAACTCTCGTGAAACATTTATCAAGTGATGAAATGTAGCGAATTTTCGGACGAACAGAGATTGGATTAAATTGGATCGGCGTAAAGCTTGATTCGAGTAAGAATCCGTCGAAAACGGATTCGTCCGACCGTCTTTCCGCTCTCTCGTGCATCTCGTGTAGGCAGCCGCGTCGGCCGGTTTTGTTACGAGAGCGCGGCGGGATCGAAAAGAATGGTGCACGAGAGCTGCGTGGCTGCCTTGACCACAGACAACCGGAGCGATCCCGGCCGCCGCCCGAAACCTTCTTTTCTTCTACTTACTTCCTCTCTCCCTCGGTCCTCTCGGTTTTCCCTCTTCCCTCGAGATCCCGCATCCCTCTATCGGCCGCTCACGCCCCCACCATTGTGTCCTCCTACTCCCCCTTTCTTTCCCTACCCTCCCGGCGGCGTCGGGTTAGTCCGTCAACAGAAGAGTTCTCCGCTACTACTCGTAGAAGGCGCGTTTCCACGCGCGCCGCTGTTGCGTGCACTCGCCGTTACGCTTCTTCTTCCTCCACTTTCGTAACCTCACCCTTCCGCCGGCGTCCACCCCTGCCGACACCCCTTCCTTCTATCCCGTTACCTTCGTCCCCCGTCGTTGCGTCGCATCGCGTCTCGTCGCGTCGGACCAACCTCGGCCGTCCCTACTACCTCTCTTGTTCTCTCGCTCGCCTACTTCTACTCCTCATTTCGGAACGCAGCTGCCGCCGGTGGTCGAGAAATTTTCGCGAGTTCCTCTCCACCACCCCGCTCCGTCTCCGATCCTGCCGCTACCCCCCTCGAACCATCACCGCCTCCTCCTCCTCCTCCTCTTTCGCCCGCCCTTCGATCTCTTCCGGCGACGGGCTCGCTCCTCTTCTCTTTTTTTTTTTTTTCTCTTCTTTACCCGATCGGTTCTCTCCTACCGAAGATCCTAAAAACGAAGGTGGTAGTGGTTCCGTTCCTCCTTCGCGAAAGGAGAAAGCGCGGAAACGCAAGGAGAGAGAGCAAGTGTGTGCGCGTCAGAGCCTCTACCGGCGTACCTACTGCTACTCCTCTCGAGACTTCCATGATCTTCGGAGATCGACCAGTACGCGTTCGGGCAAGGGTGACGAAGGGTGGCACGTTCCAAGATCCATCCGCGACGCCGTCACCACTTATTCTCTGCTATTTATTTTTACACACCAGTGAAAGGGTGGTCGGATATCGAGTTTGAGTGTATCGTCGCGTGGGAGGTTCTACAAAAAAAATTCCTGGTGCCGTTACAACAGTGTCCCGGTTTGTTGTTTATCGGTGTCGACCGCGTCCAAGAATCGATGACGTCTCGCCACCGTGCCGCGATTATGTGAATCGACCGCTATCGCGACCTGTTACGTTGGCTGCACGTGTTGCTGCGGAGGAACGCGCTCGGATCGATGCCGACCGCGGTCCGAGCTTTTTGAAAATTTTTCGAATTACACGCCGTGTAATACGTGTCGCGGACGGGATTAAACCGCGCGTGATCCTCGCGATTTTTCCGTTTCGCACGGAACGACCACCGTGGCCGTAACGAAGCGATGAAGATTACCGATTCGACCGCCCGGATCGACGTTCGCCATCGAGATCTATACACGGATAAATTAAGGCCGATTAGGATGCCGCTCCGACGTGTCAGCATCCGCGCGAGGACGCACGAGCGCACCGCGCGAAGTATTAGTGGGAACGAGGCGATGGACGCGTAGAGTACGTATCGAAATTCGTGTCTGCATATTTTATCCATAAGCGAATTCGTTGATAAATGTTTCCGGTACGACATGAACGAATCTGTGATTCACTACAGACACCACGTGCTTAGTGAAATAATCAATGGTTAAGAATTATTCTGGTATTCGTGATAATTTCTGGTTCTACAATTATATTATAAAACGATTAACCAAATTTTATTTTCATTTTTTGATTCTGCACGACACAAGGCGCCTCGTCGATCGACTGCCATTTTTAGTTGCTCATTTTTTTTTTTCACTGAGTCCGTTCGTACCATTTGTTGACACCCGTTCGCGAAATACATTTCGAGCAAATCCCTGATTCAAATTAAAATCGAGTGTTAAAATTCGTCCGTGCCAGGTCGGATCGCCGGGCCTATACACCCGTTCCAACTAGGTGCAAACAGTCTGGGAGAGATTTATTTTCGCATTTACAAAATAAACAGAATTCATCGGATTCGGGTAGCGTGTCGTTTATCGCAGCGGGGCAAGTTAAACGAATACTTTGCGAAAGTACAGTTGGTTCGCTGGTCCGTTCCGTTCTTTTACCCATTGTGCACTCATACCACGGACGCGTCGTCGAAAACGTTCGCCCCTAAGGCGCTCCCGAGGAACGGCGGTCGTCCGGGGGTCGGTGGGAGGCAGGAAAGGAGTGTTCGGGTGGGTGCAGTTACTGCTGATCGTTAAAAGGCGCATAAAAAAAGGTCGCGAGGAGAAGGGAAGGGGGGAGGGAGGGAGGAGGAGGAGGAGGAGCGGGTGGTGCGCAGGGGGTGAGGGAGGAAGCAGCGCGAGAAGTAACAATAAAAATTCGTAGGCATTCGTGTTTCGTCGCCGTGGGTAGGAAACGCGAGACGTCCGAGAGGGTGAGGTGGTGTAACCAGGGGTTTGGGAGTGGAAGGCGAAGGCAAAGGAGGAGAAGATCGGAGAAGAAGGAGGCGTGGGTTGGGTGCAACGGCGACGGGTGCAGGCGCAGCGAGGGTGGCGGAAAGAGGTTGGAGGATGGGTATGGCGGAGCAGGGTGCGTAATGAAACGATATTGAGTAGCCGTGGTAGGGAGAGGCTCGTGACTAAGGGTGGGGGTCGTCTTCAGCCCTCTCCGTCGATTGACCTCGCTTCGACGAGGCGAACCGAGTTGCCACGGAGGGGGTGAGACGCGTCGAGACGAGGGTGGGAGCCGAGCGGCTCGCACAAGAGCGGCCGAGGGCGCGAAGGGGGTTGATTCGCGAGGAAGGGGCGAAATGCCGAGCAATCTTCCGTGTGGCCTACCGGGATGGGAAAGGGAGCACCGAAGTTAAATTGACGAAAATGACGCGGCACCTTCCTTTTTGTCTCTCGCCTCGCCTCGTCTCGCGTTCTCGCTTGCAACCGGCGCCGATGCCTTGGAGAACGCCTTCCGAAAAAAAAAGGTGAAACTTCAAAGCGGCATCAGCATACTCCAAGGCTAGTGTCTAACGAACCGCGGCTCGAGAGCGGGAGGATGACTGTGGTTACCCCGCGTAACGTCACTCTCCGTCGAACGATTCGACGTTCGAATTTTACTTGTTCGACGTTGCCTCTGTTTACGACCCACCGACCGATCTATCGTATGTTCGTCGTCTAGTTATCGTTTCATCATATCTGTAACTCGACGCGTTACGAAGGAACGTTTTAAAACGGCGATTCTAAACTCTCGTTCATTACCGTGCGGGTTTTCATGGCTGAATATCGACGTGTCGCTTGAAAAAGGTGTTCGTTAATTTTTAATCCCAAGTGGGAGCGAGTATTTTATTACAGCCAATATCGGGGTGTAAAGCGTAAACTTTTCCGCGTTGACATTAATATTTTATGAAACATTTTTCGCCGGATGTGTAAATGAGACCCCAGCCCTGGCGTCGCGTGTAAACAATTTGGAAAATTACCAGCGCACCGTGTCGAGAGCTGTTTTTTAAAACGCGATAAAACGAGTTAATACTCAGATGGAAGCGCATAATAATCCATTAAATGATCACATGCCCCGTCAGATAATTATCAAGCTTGACAGAAATTAATATCAATGAACGATATTAATGATCATTCTCCTTGTAAAGTATAACGCGTGTCGCTAGCGAGCAGTCCGTTTCAGTTGTAAAATTCATATCGTACACCGGTAATTCTGTTCCCCCTTTGTACTTGATAAATTATCTCTTCCGCGATACAATTTTCTTTCTACGTTTTCCCAACTCTGCGCCAGTTATTCGTCATACGGGCGTATTATTTAATCTGGCTGTTCGACTGCTGAAAGTAGATCCAGTCGCGGCTGGTCAGGCGGTACTCCACCGGCCTCTAACCCCAGAATCGCGCCAACGTTTCTAGCTCGGT